ATTGCTTACTCCTTGAGGGAGGCAAATGCTGCCTAATGCTTGGCTGGAATCTGCCCAGAGGTGAGGCTGCTGCCAATTCGAATGAGCAGCTGATATTTATACAGCACTTTTCATTCCAAAAGATCCCAGAGCACTTTTGAGATTGTACCGCTACGACTGCTTGAACGAGTTGCTGTGCTGCAATTACCGTGACATGGGACAGGAATCTCCATTACAGTATCTTGGCTCTGCTGTGGGTACTGCGGTAAAGGCATCTATGGTTCAGCAGCCTGAATGGTTGTAATCACTACCCAGTCTTGGTTAACGCAGTTAGGGATGACTGGCGGTGCCTGTAGCCTCGTAACCATTGAATGCACTTAAAAGCCAGGAAATAGAGAGCTACGGTGTAGCCCTACCTTGTCCTACAACCTTAACTCTGCCCCCTGGAGCTTTCAACAGTCCCTGGGGGATAGCCTGTGTAGTCCTATAATAAGCAGACATGAGGAATTGCTACAGATGTGTTTCATTTCCGGTAGCGTGTGGCGTCCTACGGAATTGTGTTCTCTCTCATCTGCATGCGCTCCAGTCGCCCTTTGCTGTGTTAGGGTTGGCTATGGCCCGGATTGGTTGCAGCAGGCTGGCAGAGCTCATGCTGTGCTCTGAGAAGAGCATCAGGACCCTTCATCGCAGTGCTGAGTCATGTGGGTTATGCTAACAGGAGCCCAACGGCGTATTGTTGTGGGGCTTTGTAGCTGTTGGGTCGTGTGCATGACGGTGAACTATAAGGCAGGGGCAAGTGTAGGTTCCAGAGGGAATCCTTAGGGACAGGGTCACATCTGGCGGTGGCTTGTGCAGGCTGAGTGAAGTGATTGAGTGTAGGCCAGGCATAGCCAGCTGGTGCCTGCTCAGCCCACCCTAAACGCAGCTGGTGCCTTAGTGAGGACACAGTCTGGCAGATACACCTACTGTACCTGCGTGCTGCGTCCCAGCACTGAGATGGTTTGTGTTTAAAAGGGCTAGAATTGTCAGCCTCCAGTTTCACAGAAACTACAGGCTAGGGATGTGTGAAATGATTAGGCGTGAGAATCTTTGGTTTGTGCTCATCGGATGAATTATTGTAGAAAGGAGAAATTTGGTTTTGGTGTTTTGTGATTGATGTAAATTGTGGTCTTGAGTGAGCGGTGTCCTGACCCTGTCAGAGGGTATGTCTACACTACCCGCTGGATCAGCGGGCAGCGATCAATCCAGCAGGGGTCGATTTATCGCAATAAATTGATCCCCGAGCGCTCTCCCGTCGACTCCTGTACTCCACCGCAACAAGAGCGGCAGCAGTCGACTCACCGTGGTGAAGACACCACGGTAAATTGATCTAAGTATGTCAACTTCAGCTATGTTATTCACGTAGGTGAAGTTGCACGCACACACACCTTGGTCAGTGTCGACCTTACACCAGTCCTTGAAATAGGGCTCCCAACAGTAGTTCTGTATCTGTATACTCAGCCACGCCTCTGATCCTGCAAACATTTGAGATGGCAGCTACTTGCTTTTTCTTTGATCATACTTGCTCCCAGTGTTTAGGAAAGGGGTGAGGAGCCTGTGGCATGATCACATTACCCTAATAAGGTTGCATACTGGTCATTCACCTTCTCTCTCCAAGATCCATCTTTTCCCTGAATAACTTTTTAAAAATATTGCTTCTCTGAAAGGGCAATGGGCACCAGATGCTATCTGAGCTCAATTCTGAGCAGATGATATCAGTTTGGGGGGAACAAAGCTATAGTTTGAGCTCCAGGAATGTGTTTAAAAATGGGAGAAACATCAGGTTGTCCTGGCCTTTTTTAGGGAAGGTTGTATTGCAGAAACCGTTTGCTGAAATGACCCAAATTGCCACGAGACAGAGCAATTGAAGACAGAGTAAGCATGTAGATTTTAGAGCACATTGAAAAACCGGTAAGCTAGTCCCAGCCTTAACTATAGCAATGCCTGGCAGCAGTTTAACAGCATAGCACAAGGTTACAATATAGACAGGACCAGAAGTGAAGAATAGTGTATACAGTTGAAACTGCAGAGGTGGTTTCAGGTAGCAGGTTGTAATTATCTGAGCATCTAGATGTCCCTTGGAGGGCTCTCCTCCATGTAGTGACCTGTCCAGGCCCTGCCTAGGTTGCTGGATCACAGCACCAGATGATATGGCTGCAGACAGCAATGTAATCAGGCATTTAAGTTATCCTTGCAATTTGGTTGTGGGTTGTTTGTGCATCACTAACCTATGGTATTTTGATTGCTGAGGGTACCCTTGGACTTGTGCGCTCTACAAACTCAGTCCAGTCCAGGGACCTGGTTACAATGCTGGTACAATTTATATTGTAGCTAAGATAGGGTTACCATTCATCCGGATTCCCCCAGACATGTCCGGCTTTTTGAGCTAAAAATAGCATCCGGGGGGAATTTGTAAATGTCTGGACTCCTCCCCCCCCCCCCCATGCAGAGTGCGCGCGGCTAACAGGGGAGCTGGCCAGATGGTACCACTTACATGGGGCTCCAACAGCCAGAGAGAGCCCCTCCTCCACTTCCCCTGCAGCAGAGATCACTCCCTCCCTCCCTGCATTTGCAGATCGCCTCCGGCAGTCTGGAGCTCCTCCCCCGCTCCTCTTCCACTGCTGCCCAGCGTGCCGGGACGAACGGCTCAGGCCGTTCCTGAGCAAGCTCACAGAGACATTAGGTGAAGGCGAACAACAAGGGGGTCAGGGGGTCGGAGAAGGGGCAGGGAGGTTTTGGAGGGGGCAGTCAAGAGACTGGGGGGGGTCGGGAGTTCGGGGGGGGGCTTTCTGGAGGGGTGGATAAGGTTTTGGGCAGTCAGGGTGCAGGTAGGGGGTAGGGTCCTGGGGGGGCAGTTAGGGTGGGGGGGTCTTAGGAGGGGGC